CTTTAGCGTGTCAAGTTCTACAATAAAATAGTTACAATGCGAAGCTATGAAACAAATTATCGTGTCAGCATACGCATAATTGTTATGATTTAGTTTACATTATTTATAAAGATCTGTAATATGATTTTAGCAAGGATGTCCTTTAATAAAATGTAATAAGGAAATGAAGAATAACTTTTTTGCATTGTTGCGAGTTGTTTTCGCGGCCGGTCTAAGCATAATAAATGTACCGAATATCTTTATGGACTGGTTGGCCTCGCGGTCTGTTTGTTAAATATAAACTCGAGTCTTTTATAAACAACTTGGGAGCTTGAGCTGGACGTTTTTAGCACTTAAGTAATGCATGAAGGCTATGAAAATAATTAAATTACGTTACCTATTATAGAATTGCTTCAAATGTGTGTTTTTGGTGGGATATCTTCCCTCCCAAATTCAATAACAGGGGCCTTACCATGAACTCTTATTACGATTCAGTTTAGGACCTAAAATGAATCGTTGTGAGATAGCGCTACATGAAATGTATATCACCATCCCGCTTTTTTGTTATAACGAACATATACTGAATTGTAATTAGAGTTCATGGTAAGACCCCAGTACTATTAAAAGTCTCCTTGAAAGCCACACAATTTTTTATCTTTAACATAAGCTGGAAAATTTCAATTCGTATCAATAGTTTTATACAAAATCAACTTCCTCTATACTCGTTTTATCGTCTAAAACACACCTTTTAAATTCCTATTCAAGTCCTAAGTAAACATTTAGCTGATAAGGTACGCCGGAGCGTGCTTCGCGATACACGATAATCTCGTCAAGTTGCATTACACAGTATGGCAATCACAAGACAATAGAGTTACTTTGCTATTTTTAGGATTACTTGTTGATCGGCCGAACGATTGCACTGTTTTCTGACATTATCATTTATACATGAAATGGATTTTAAAAAACACGATAACGAGACCGTGTTTTGTTTATATGAACTCAACCGATCCAATGACAAAGATATTTTAATAATGTGCCAAACTTAGACATACATAGAATAATAATAATAAATAACGCCTACTCTCTACATAGCCCAGCTCTAGGGAAACCCTGTGTGCGGGTGCCATGGATACACACATAGACAACCACAAATTACACCCAAACTCACGAGATAAATAAATATAGGCCATACAAATATTTCTCCCATCCCGGGAATCGAACCTGGGACCTCTGCGTGGCAGTCACCGTTCCGCCACGGAGGCAGTTACACAGAGAATACACGGTGTCAAAAGGTCATATAAGTAGGTAAATAATTACAAGAAAATCGCACACGGGGAAGTATCAAAATCGAGTAATTAATAATTATCCAAACGCAGGCGTATCGTAACAGTGCATGTGATACACGTATCATCATATTTTTTTTTCGATACGTCATAGATGTTACACTGCAAATTATTGTTCTGTATGGGACGTGACAGGACGCATGCCGCCCGCACTTCTGATATAAAATGGAGTCGACAAAAACATCGTTATTTTTATTCAACTCTCAAGGCCAAGTCCGCCATATTGCATTCATGTCAGTAAACAAGGTCTTTCGAAACAAAATATGCACTAGATTTTTTTCTTTTGTGTTCTATGCTTTGGAAACAGTCATAAGCCTTTTTTATTTTATTTTGTTACTGCTACAGAACATTTTAGATGACTAGCGCTCAAGGCCAAGACCGCCATGTTCCATTCGTGTTTAGACTACTAGGTGTATCTTTTTTTGTATCTCTATTTATATTTCAAAACTGCTGTTTTTGGTGTAATTGTAAACAGAAGAGTTTTTGTAGTTATATTGTTATTAAAATTCTAAACATTCGTGATGAAAAGTGTTGTTCGTAATTATTAAAACAACCCTTCTCAATCAACCCTATTGTACTCGCACAAAATATACACTCTTAAACAACAAACATGAGAGTGTTTGTATACACTCAAACTTTTAAGACGCTTATCTATAATGAGATAATTTAAGTAACACGTGTAACTAAAGAGCATTAAATATCATGTTACGTGAATTCGGAGCGCTTTTTTGTACAAATTAAAGTAACCCATTGTGTTGTCAAGGCTACCCATATTAAGTCGACCGTGCTTCCTCTGTAACTCAAGTACTCTACGGGGCGCTACAATTAAACGTGTCAACACAGTGTTTATGGCAGACGTTAGTCCAGCCAATTTGAGGTGTTTGTAAGCTAGCGTTAATGGGGAAGTGTTATTGTAAACTGTTTTAAAATAATTTTATATAAATGTTTTAATTAATTTTAAATCAAGGGCATAAAGAACCCGAATGTCCTTAAAGATTTAGCATGCCAGTGAAATAGGTAAAGGAATTTATAACATTTTGTTAAGACACTAAGAAATACATACAGCTAATACTAAATGTTTTCTATCAAACGTACACCTAAAAGTACTTATTACAATAATAACATACGCTTCTGACGTTTTAATTATACAAACGCATAATTTAAGTGTTGTGATAAATGTATTGTTTAAAAATGAAATTCTTTTGAATATTCATGAACAGTACGCCTTGTTTTTGTTCGAAAACCAAATTCAATGTGAATTATAATTATTGTATTCATACTTATTATAGAATAGTCTGCTATAATAACTAGGTACTAATAACTTGTTAAAATGTTATTATGTATTGACTGAAACTTTTATTCCTTTGTTGGAATACCTACATTTATATTCTTACAAAGAATTTCACAAGTTATAAACAGGTGTTTAACGAGAAAGTCCTGTATTCGAATCGGTAAAACTACTTATGAAACAAACTTTTCTAAATGGATACGTGCAAAGTACTAGTGCATAACAAAAATGTTATATCAATGTCAAACTATGACATCATAAGCACTAAAAATCTTCACGAAATAAAAATAAAACCCGTCTCTAAGAGCCACGAACACACTCGGCGTTTTTTATCTACACGAGAATGTAAACACAATACTGTTGACACGCCTCGGCGATACCGGTATCGCCGGTATCTAATTCGGCTGACCTTGGCAGTGAAAAAACAAGTTTTTACGTAACCTTGATACTTTATTTTGCTTTTTGCACGGCGCCAAACGAGATTGCACACAGCCTCACAGCTACATTTCCAACGGTTGTAAATCTTTAATGGCTGTAGTGGTAGTTTTTTGTTTTTAAACAAAACTACTGAGAACGTTGCTGAAAGAGGTTCCTTAATACAATATTGTATTTAGTTTTTTATGTTTGCATCAATGACAACCTTGGCATACCTCTTAACCTCGTAAACTATATCAATGTAAGTAAGCTCTATTCATTAACTTACTTAAAAATCAATGAGCCTATTTTTCAATTCATATAGGCTTACTTGTTTAACGTGTTCTGTATACCAATGTTGCCAGCAAAATAGGTTTTTATTTTAAGATGACATTATCTACGACCACTTACCCTTTTCTGAAACTTGTTTATAAATGTCTGGTTTATAAATTAAAGTGCTTGGAAAATTATCTTTAATTGCTTTTGCATTAAATCCGAAGCTGCGATTTTGCATTTTATGTTTATAAAGGTGCTTATTGTACCTACTAATAAACAGGATTATTACTATTTAAAGTTAATGTTTGAATATCCACTGTAATTAGAATATATAGGGTCTAAATCGATTTAGCAATCAGTGGGCTCACATACTTCTATAGAACAGCGTTAACAAACGTGACTGAAATTATAAAATTAACTTAATTATAAGTAAATATGCACTAAACTAAAAATTATTTAACAACCGGTAATTATATAAGTATAAATATGTTGTGCTGTTATTGAGTTTTTTAGTAAAATATAATTTATTTAAATTAACAAAAATCAAACGCGAATCAAATAAAAAATCGACGTCTGCGCTTGCGTCGAGCAAATCCGTGTAATGCGATTACAAACCGCTTCACCAGCGGTGACAGACAGCGGGATGTCTGACAGGAACTACACGCAAATTGGATTTTGATTCATTACCGTTACGATGAACTCGCTTGGGGTTTTTGTGCACGACTGTACCGATGTGCGTTATTCGCGTTCCGATTTTAACAAATTTGGGGCTGAATGGTTACGGTACGATTCAGGTCTATGTAATAATGTGACTTTTGAAATGGTTCTCTATTACATAAACACATATTTAATGGCGACAGTTTAGTAACTGTATGCGGTAGTCCGCATCTAACTAATACATTGTAATATCAAAAACTAGCATACCGAGAAAAGGCTACAACAAGGATATTTTTGTAATTTTTCAGGTTAATGACAAAGATACACTAACTACTTAAGTACTTTACATAATAAAGAATTCTATCTAATAATTACCTACTATTTTACTTTGCGAAATAGGCCATTTCTATTAAAAACTAATACATTTTATTTTGCATTGATAACAGCTGACAGATTCTTGTAAGAAAATTACAAAATACGACTTGCAAGCTTTCAAATTTTTAAAACAAAAGAACTCTACCGTAGTTCTTTTGTTTTAAAAATCTCCAGATATTCTTCAGACACTGTCTCGTGAGTTAACGAGGTGAAGAACAGAGGTAATTCAGTCAAGTGTCTCTTCTAGGCAGTTTGATTCATTGATTGTGATCACAAACTGTTCGATAGTACGTATCGCACGTTGAAATCAATACTGTCACTGACTGAAAAAGTCTACTTTCGGGAAATTATTTTTAAAGCTTATGGTAATAGTTTAAATTTGAAAAAGCGGCATTATTAGCATAAGCGGCGTTCACTGACGGTATTGTTTTAAATGTGCGATACACTTCTCTATTGTTTACATCAATTTAACACTTTTCTGTGCGGGGCACGAGTTTAAGAAGAAGTTTTTACAAACATAGAATACTTTTAACCATTGCGCATTGTACTAAATCTTCTCATACTATATAGTTTTTAACTTTTTGTGACATTTTTTCGCAAAGCTAATAACCCTTCAATGTTCTATGTTTACGTATAATGTTCTAGCGATATCGTTTGTTTGTTTTCAGAGCTGGCGCTGGTGCCAATGGGATATTCTCAAGAAGACTGGACTTCTCCACGTTCAACCTTCTGCCAAAGCACAAAGTCAACTCATATCAGATTAAGGTAAGTCTGCTTAGGTTTTTTATACAATATGAGGCACTAAGCGGCTTAGCTCTTGCGTATTATTTTTATGAATATAAAATGTCACTGTCCTTTATATACGAGCAAAAAACGGGTATATATGATGTTCGTTTCTGCTAGTCAGTAAACAAATCACTATTGTATCCCAGACATTATTATACTATATATATTTATTACCTCACAAGAAGTGACGCGGCAAAAACGTGTTGAATTCCTTTAAGTAGGCCAAACAGAAAATAATAACACCGCGATTTACATAGGAAAAATAGGTATTCACAAATGGGCAATGCCATCTAGCGGTATAACCGAAATATTTTCTCAAGGACATTCCATATTCAAACAGAATACGAATAAATACGAAATAGCGATGATCAATTTAAAAATAATTGGCATAAAAGAACATTTTATTTGTTTCTGTATGTAATTTACACAAAATACAGCGTAGATGTGAAATGAAAATGAATATAATACTGGAGGCAAAGGTAAAATTTTGCTTTTGTTATCATTTATCACACAAGTAAAGGGTGGGCGACACTTCGCGGCAAAAAGCCGGCACATTGTACGCCTATAGTAACTAAAAACGAAAATGTTTCTAACTTTATCACACACCTTTTATTTCAGACAATGTGGACATACTTTTGAACATTAACGTGTGTTGTATTATAATCTGTGATCGGAATAGACATTTTTTGTCCCCGATCTTTACGGGATTCGGGAAATCACTTAAAGTATATTAAAAATTGACGGTATTTGGAATAGATAAGTAGACTATATTTACAACTAGCAATTTTTCGGAATATATAGGAAAATTGGTAGAATTTTCTTATTTTTTTGAAAGTATATGCATTTTACAAAAGTTATTCCGATCATTGGTTATAACTCTTTATTTGAAATATAATGTTTTCGAACGTCTTTTAGATTTTTAAATAATATAAACTTACAGGTGCGCAATGGTTAGCAATTTGTGTTGAGTTCGATTACCGCTTTAGGACATACCCTACTCTCGAAACACGTAATCCGTAGTTACGTCCGTATACCCACTATGCATGATCTACAAACTTGAGTTTCGATCGGGGCTAGAACTAAGAATATGACAACGCGTTTCGATAGTTTCGACTTAAAGTGTAGTTCCTTAGGTCATCCATAGTGAGAAAACGGCCGTAATGGATACGGCATTTTGGATAATGCCCAGAGTTTAATTTCGTTACTCATTGTACAGGAAGTTCTCTGGTTTGCAACAGGGTAATTAGTATGGTTGTCTGACACATTGTTATTATTTATTATTAAGTATAAATAAATGTCATTTTATTGGGATTATAGAAAAGAAGTAAAAACAAACCACAACAAAGATTAGTAGTGGAAAAAGTTAAAACAATCACTTCGGAAAAAATATATAATAAAGTTGAGTGTGAAAACACTATTCCTAAAAATTTTCACGGTAGAAAAAGAAAACAAACTTACTTAGAAATTTTACAAGAAAACCGCTGTGTCCAATATGTACTTTACAGATACCAATGATTTTTTTTTGTATGAACTGAACTAAACAGAACACGTACACTATACGATATGCATTTTTCAAATGGTTTTAATTTCGTTTGAAAAAAAAAAAATCTGAGATAAATCCAGTATCCGTACCGCTCGATCCAAGCAAAATGAACCGTATCAATGAATCATCATTGCGTTACTTTATTCTATAAAAACATGACAATAACATTCTAAAACATAAATGCTTAATTGTAGAACGTTTTTTTAACTGTTCCCAATATTTCCGTCTTATATTAGCTTAACACTAAATTTTTTACCAACAATTTGTTTATCGCAATTTGGCCACCGATATTGGCAAGCATTTTTTGTGTTTTCGACTTTTTATCAATACACGTGTAGATTTAATTAACGCATGTACGGAATAAATAAAGCATTGACGCTATATCAATAATACATGCCTTGTTTACAAAAGTATATTGCATATATTGCCGCGTTTTTTAAGTGACGCCTTGTTCTCATATTTACTTTTTATTTCGATGTTGAACGTGTACGTCCATACCGTTCTCATCATCATCATCATCAGCCTATCACAGTCCACTGCTGGACATAGGCCTCCCCAATTGTGCGCCATTTCGCCCGGTCCTCAGCTTGTCGCATCCATTTCCCGCCAGCAGCCTTTCGCAAGTCGTCACTCCACCTGGCCGGAGGGCGTCCTACACTACGTTTGCCGAGTCGCGGTCTCCACTCTAGAACTCGTTTTCCCCATCGGTTATCGGTTCTTCGACAGATATGGCCAACCCACTGCCACTTCAGCTTGCTTATTGCACGAGCTATGTCGGTGACCGTACTTCTCTGTCGGATAACCTCATTACGAATTTTATCCTTCAGAGAAACTCCGAGCATAGCCCGTTCCATAGCTCGCTGAGCGACTTTAAATGGTGGACTAGACGTATCGTGAGTGTCCACGTCTCGGCTCCGTAAATCATAACAGGTAGGACGCACTGGTTGAAAACATTTGTTTTCGGATTTTGTGGTATACCGCTCTGCTCCTGTCTATTCTGAATGTCGTATCTAGCGTTAGGCAATTGTTTTTAGGGCATTGTATTTTTGGATTGACTTCACATTCACATGTAGCTCATCTCGTGGAGCTCTAAGTTCTTGTGGAAAATGTTTGCTGCAATGCACGCTGAGTGAAATCGTCGTCTAATGGCTCTTACACATAAACACGATACGACGTCGCGTCGTAGCACTACGCGACGTCGTATGTGTAAGAGCCCATAAGCCTCGCTAAGGTACGACGTCGTCGTGCTATGACGTGACGTCGTATCGTGTTTATGTGTAAGAGCCCTTAGTACGACAAACATGCCATTAGCGCATTTGAACATTTTGACGTTGTGTATTCTAAAATTTTTCATCAGTCTAACATTTAATGTATCTAATTTATTATGCAATTTAATTCATGAAAAAATACATTTTTTTTATATAAAGTGAAGGGACACGCCTCTCCCTGTCACTGCCACTCAGAGCATTAAATTGAAAGATCTGAGGGGCATTCCCACCTCACCCGTCAACCTGAGAAATAAGTTGACAAATCTCATGTGCCTGTAATTTCACCAGCACTCTTTAAAACCGGAACGCAGTAATGCTCACATTATTACTTGGCGGCAGAAATATGTAAGGTGGCAGTACTTTCATGGGCGAACTTTTTCTCAAGGAGATCTACTGCATCTAAAATTAATATTCTATTTGCGTGTGCGTGCGCTTGAATGCAATTATGTAATAATAAGAATTGCCACTGAAATTCGGTGAAGAAAACTAACTTTTAAAAGAAAAATTACCCATCACACGTAACGTAACTAACGACGACCTATTTTGAAAAACCAACGCCTCGTTTACATTCAACACTTACAACTTACAAGCAAGCCACTATCACTACATATTCAGCGAGTATTATTTTGCAATTGTCGTTATGTGTTTGTTATGCGTCGCGGTATCTAATCTCCACAGGCCTTGAGCCAGTTGTATGTCAACTGGCGGTCATTCCCCCAGGCTGACGGCTATTTTTACTCATACTTTGTTTATTTACACGGAGCTAAGAATCGCCCTTTGGGACTGACCTTTGTTTTCCGTTTTGTTTCACTGTTACTATGCAATTTTGTGCAAATCGCTTACAGTCTACGTCAGCTTGTTAGAATAAGCAGTAAGTTTATATCGAGTTCTTAGGTTTTTGCCATTAGAAATGAAACTATAGTTTCGGATTTAAATCGCGTATATTTGTTACTAAGCTTATTACAGTAAGTATGACATTTTTTAAGCTCGATATCAGATGTCTACAGCTTGGAGAGTTCGTCTATCTTTAGTTTTCGTTAAGCCAAAATTTCTGCGCCTCTACCAAATCCTTAATAACCCTACAGTTATGTATTTAAATAAAAACAAGACTTATTCCTTAAGTTGTATGAGTATTAAGTTGCTGCAATCTTAGTTATAAACTCTCTATCACTTAATGACAGGAAACCCTTCCTCTGCAACTGAGTGATTTATTTGATCCCTAGCCTATTTAAACATGTGGTTTTACTCATAGTACCATATTAGGTTACATTTGACTAATGGCTAATAGTCTATTGGAACGTTCTTATTTCAAATAGTCGTTTTTTATTCGTTTATCGAAGTGGTATCTAAGTCAATCTCTGTTTAAATTTACCAAAATGGAACAAACACCGATAAAGTGAAAATGTTTATTATACTCAGTCCTTTAGGAGTCTTTTTTTAGTCTGTTGGTTATTAGTGGCCTGCCAGTGCAGTAGTACTTAGTTTTACTGTCGCGGCGATTGAATAATTGTTTTCAGCCTCTTAACCCGGGCTACACAGCTATAAATGCGCAGGCGCCAGAATGGTTCAAGTGAAGATATTTTTAGCGGTTTTTAAAGAAAAATTATTCAAACATTTTTGTTTCATTTTACATGACATGACATTCTTAGCCAGTGTGGTGGTACAAACTCTCACCACAAAAGATATTAGTAGCTTACCGTAGGTCGTATATGGCTTCCATAAACTATTTCAGTACTGGTTTAGTAAATTTTCAAATAATTTGTAACTTTTTAAAGTTGCAAAATGTTCAACCATAATTAATTATCCGCAGCATAACCATAATCAAGTTTGATTTATCGATTACTTAAAAAGATTAATTGCATTCAATACAATGCACTTTAATTACATAGAAGCACCTCTGTAGTTCATTAGTGGATCGCTTTGTCCCTTGCATTATTAAAATTAACACCCGCAGTTACTCGCACGCTTGACACCTATTGTTTACTTGTACAAGAGTTAAATTGCTCGACGATTAATGGTCTGGATAACACTTAGGCTTGTTACTGTTTACCCAATTACGAAGTAGCTAATGTTGTGGGTTGTGTTTTGTGTTTATCATATTAAATCCGTTGAATACAGAGACGGCCAAGCAATCCATGTGGTGAAAAGTAGTAAACGCCGCTTATACA